AAAAAAAAAAAAAAAAAAATATATATATATATATATATATATATATATATATATATATATAGAGTTGGGTCTACAAAATAACTATAATTTTAATTAGACCAAATATTTTTTTTTCTTAATGCACGAACTTACGTGTCTCTTTGCCATTTATGGATACTGTAGAAGATCCGGTAGTATTTGGTGTATAACTGCGTAGTCATTTGTCTAAAAATGTCGATTTTATTTTGATTAGAATCGATTAATTGATACATCGCAAGAAGAATATAATCAGTTCTAAAGAATCGATAAAAGTGTATAGATGAGATTATATATGAATTATTTCAGATATAACCTCACTGCTTTCATTATTTTTAAAAGATGAAATCTAATCTGTGATGAAAGAGTTCTTGGGAGAAAAGACACTCTCTATATGTCTGATAACACTCTCATTACGCGTTTCTAAAATTCACTACAAAAGAATGTAGTGAATGTTATTAGACAGTTATTATTACGCAGAGTGCCTTTCTTGTCAGGTTATAGCGTAAGATAGAAAGTGCAATCTGTTAAACGCTACTAATCCTTTGAAGCGCTGACTATAACTCCTAACTTATAGATCATAAGTTTTCTTTAAGCGCTTCAAAGCGTTTGCAGACTCTAATGGACCGTACCTATTATTAGATTAATATTAAAATAGAAATAATAGAGTATTCAGTAATTTTGACCACATTAAACGTAATTGAAGACAGCAAGCGAAACACGTAATTAGTAATATTCCACATTCCATGAGTAACAAATGGGATGATACTTGTTGTGTCGACTCATGTCACTAAATGGAAAGCACTCATGGCTACCACGTTAAGGCTCCTGACCTCTCGTCGCGGCTATCTTGATTTATAAAGTAAGTAGCGAAGATATGTATGTCAAAAATTTCTGCAAAATCTAAATAAAAAGACATATCTAAATCAATTAAACACACACACACACACACACACACACACACACACACACACACACACACACACATACACCATTAAGCTACTGCGAATACTTTCCTTTTGCTCTAACAATCAATAAATAACCGTAAAATTAATATGACATGCAACCTTTCTTTTTAATCTACATTCCTTCATTATCTTGTCATGTTAATTTCACGGATATTTATTGATTGTTAGAGCAAAAGGAAAGGGGTATTTTAAAAGTGTGCTTAGTAGATTGCAAGTGTCATTTTTTTATATATCTTTTTATTTCGACATACTTTGCAGGAATCTTCGCATTTCCTCGCTTCTAACGTCATCAATCGAGAGTTGTATGGCGAAGGACGAGGAACCTTAATATTCTCAACTGTGTTTTTTAGTCGATTGACTTACTGCTCTAATGTTTTATTAATATCAATTCCCCATAGAGAATCAATTACCGAAAGACTCGAATCAGAATCGATTTTACGCAAGAAATATAACCGACTTTCAAATAGCTGGATCAGAATCGTGGAACACAATACAGCTATGTTATTGTGAATCAACAAGTCGCACTACACTCCGTCTAAGGTGGAATTACCTAGGGAATGTCGTATGTTACTAATTCGGCACGTCAACACTTCGCGTCGCGAAGACGAAGTGGTTCACGCTAATGAACAACCACCTTCGACGGGTCTCCACCGTCTTTCGATCTTTGCTGTAAGATCTGCAGCCCCATGCATTCGCGTTTCGTTCGTGTTGCAGGCATGAAGCCAGAGACATCGTCAGACACGCGGTCGGAGCCGGCGAGCAGGATGCTGTGTTATTCACAGGTCAAGGCACCGCCGCTGCCCTTCGCACACTTTTACGACATCTCGATCTCTCGAAATCTACCGTGGTCTTTGTGGGCCCGTTCGAGCATCACGCCAACCTGAGGCCTTGGCGCGAGCTCGATGTCAAGGTAAGACAGCCGGCAGATAAATTCACGTGGAAAAGCACGAGCCGATTTGAGCGGTCAGATAAGAGCGCGGGCCGTGCTGCAGTAAAACCACGCACCGGCCGAAGTGCATCGTTAAAACGGGCGCGATGGCCGGTCACGGGAGGATGCGTGAGATCGAATAGCACGCAATAAACGCAATCTAGCTCGGAGCTTTTGGCAGCGCGCCAAAAGTTGCGGTCGAGCGGGCGTTCCACCTTTTTATCGCGGCCGAACTCGCCGCATCGCTGCCTCTTCTGTTATCTAACGCTAGCTCGCGAAACAGTGATTTGAATTTGCCGGCCGTCTCATGAACAATCGCGCGTATGATGATTCAGCGACCTTGTGAAACCTGCGGTTTTATCAAAATAAAATTAAACAAGTAATTACAAGATCGTGTTCGAGTAGTGAACATATTTTTGGTTGGATCTAAATACTTCGGTTTTCATTTGGCGTTTACTGCAATGCGCAGTTACTCGTGAAAGCGATCGATATTAGCTGGTTAATGACATCGATGTGCAAATACATGCGCGCGCGTATTAACTTATTTGCATAACGCTGAATATTGGCTGATTTTAATTTCAAACAAGTTGTCCCTAACATATTTCGCGACAACCCTGAGACATTCCGCATAAATATTTCCAAGGTGCGCGATGTAATTCTCAAAAAGCCTTCAATTCGAGACGGTCGAGACATCGTTTGCTACAACAAAAGTCGCCCGCGGATGGTGCTTATCGGTCTCACGCTGTCGTGAGCGCGCGCGCGCGAGTCCAATTATCATTGACGGAGCAATTAAATTGACTTACAGATAGTGAGAATTTCCGAGACCCGGGAGGGCTTCTTAGATCTGAACGATCTCGAACGGAGCCTTGCCAGAATGCGGAGCGAGGGCGTTGCGCAAATGATCGGATGCTTCAGCGCTGCCAGTTGCATAACGGGGGTTTTGGCAGATGACGTCGCGACGACCCTCCTGTTGCACCAATACGGCGCGCTCAGCGTGTGGGATTACACCACCGCAGGTAATGATCGTGAACGCGGACGGGCGCGATAAAGGAGAACCGGTTACGGAGAGCGCCGATACGGCGCGATTAGCCATCGCCGTCGCTGCAACGCGATCTTTGAGCTATGACGAGAAAAGAAAACAACTGGCTAATTTATTTAAGCGGGCGCAAAGAACAGATGCATCTCCAGGTATTTTGTGTCGCGCTAATTACGCCTATTGCCGTGAATATGTGACACTCGTAAATCATGCAAGCATCCTTAACTAGAATATATCTCCCGCAACGAGGACAAATTAAATATCATTATCTTTGACATAGTGTCCTTTATGTAAGCGCTCTCGCGTTACGTAACGAACGTTACACGCTGCCGGTGGTTTTCTTTCTTCATCATTTTCGGATAGAGACTTCATCACGCGCATAGAAAATTTCTTGCGATCTAATTGGGATTCAAGCAGATTTCTCAAAATAATTATGGGTTCTGGTTAGAAATTTAATGTTTCAAACATGCGATTCTAAGATGGAAAACCCAAAGTTATTCCAATACTTTTTCTAACCTTCATTTTACGTCAAAATCGAATAAAATATGTCGACTTTCCAAATAATTTCGTTACTCAGCAAAATGCTTAAAATATTTTACAAACATTTCTTGATGTTTCATTCTATTGAATACAGTAGTGATGTAAAAATGGAATTCCCTGTTTGATACCATAAAGGTATGTCGACATTACCGACCGAGAAAAAGCGCGAGTTCCCATAGTATTTCGATACTAGACAGAGAAACCATGTTTGGGACAAGAATGGGATTCCCAATTAGTGTCGTGATGGGACAACCAATTTTGGGACAAATGTGGGCATTCCAATCGGAATCTATACTGCGCCTGGGAAAATCCTGGGAAATCCCTATGCGGGCAGAGATATCACCTCTGATTGCTTTCTTTCCAGCGCCGTACATCCAGATTGACATGAACCCTCACCTGCCCGGCGTCGGCGAGACCGCCGTGCACAAGGACGCGATCATCTTCGCGGGCCACAAATTCATTGGCGGCGTGCAATCGCCCGGTATACTCGTGACCAAACGGTGGCTCCTGCGGGAGGACGTCGAGGCCGAGGACATGCGGGATTCCCACCGCTATCATCGGGATCCCGAGCTGCGGGAGGAGAGCGGGACCGGCGGCGTGGTGGAGAGCATTAGATGTGGACTGGCGGTGCAGCTGAAGGAGAACGTCACGCCGAGGGCGATCGTCGCGCGGCAGGATAAGATTTCCAGGTGAATGATCCGTGGCTGCTCTTGAGATGGAGGCGGTCGCGCACGCTGTTTCTCGATCGCGGATTACATAAGACGTCGCCCATTCCTCCCCCCGTCCAGGAAACAAATGCGATCGTTTCGAATAATTTCTCGCCGCGAATGCCTTCCTGTTTGCTAACGTGCCGGACTGAGCGCTCATAGAAAGCGGCAGTGCGGTCTCTCGGTGTTCTCTTTCTCATCACCGCAGGTTATAATTTTCCTCGAGAGAGCGAGAGAGAACTGTCTTTGCTCTGGTTCGTTTGCGAATAGGAGGTGTCGAGCGAATAAAAACTGCGTGTTGCATAAGTGAATGGAGTATTTATGAATGAACAGGATATTCGCCGGTTGATCTCCGTGGGGGATAATCGAGCGCGATATTAACGATCGTTATTTCCCGCAGGCAAGTTTTGGCCCACGTGCGCACAATTCCGGAGCTGATCTTGCTCGGCAGCTCGTCGCAGAACGTAAAGCGGCTGCCCATCTTCTCGTTCATGGTGCGCCATCCTCGTGGCACGTTCCTCCATCATAACTTCGTCTGTGCCGTCTTGAACGACGTCTTTGGCATTCAGGCGCGAGGAGGATGCGCGTGCACCGGTCGGTATGCCCACGATCTCATGGGGATTGACCGGGAACTCGCCAAGGAATACGAGAACATCCTTCTCGAAGGGTAGGTAGTCACTGTGCTTTCTTTAATCACCTCTCTTTCCTCTTCCTTCACTCTCCATTTTCTCCTCTCTCAAATGCAATCAGTTCATTCTTCATTGAAATGCTATACTCATAACTAGTGCTTCAGTCATAAATATAGCACTGCAATTAATACAATCTCGCTGGAAAGATCAGTTAATAGTAACGGTTGTTTCTATTGCTGACGCAATTTGCAAACGCAAATAGTGTCATTACACGCAAGTCGCATGGAGGCCGTTAATTTCATCGCGACGAATACAGAAAGTTGAATCTGACACAACGTGTACTACTAGATTTTGCAGAGAAATTTTACTTCTACTGGTCAAAGTCAGTGAGATATAAAATAGGGCGGTAAAATGGGAGTATTTTCACTCCCATCAGTGAATATTCACCGATTATAGGCGAAATACTTATTTTACTGAATTTTACAATCGGAAACATTTTTACTGATTCGCTTCAAGAGAGTTGATAATTTAGTCCGAATGAATACGACTCTTCATAACACGAACTCGGCAAAACGCATTGATCTTCTTGTCATAAGAGACTCAAATTGATCAGAATCACACATCAATGAGCTTTCCGTTGATCTTGCCGATGAGTTTCGATTGCTGCCTCGCGCCGCGCAAATCTCCCTCGCACGCAGCACGTGCTTGGAATTACGTGCAGATCGGCTTGCGGATCGACGAGGCAGGAAGCGCTTCTCTATTAAGCTTGTGTTCAGCGTAATTTCGCGTAATGGACACGCGCGTCGAAATAGACGTTACGTCAATACTCGAGGCGAATCGCCGTGGCGAGCGCGTGCGAGCACTTGGCGCGCGAGCTAGCCTCTCTCCTTACAAAAGTGTCGCACTTGTCACTCAGCGCGCGGTCCGTTTTATTTTAGACAACGCACGGGGGCGGAGGAGACCACCGCGGAGGGCCTCAGGCCGGGCTTCGCCAGGCTGTCCTTCCCTTATTTCATGAGCGAGGCGGAGGTGGCTTTCGTCCTGGAGGCGCTCAAAATGGTGGCCACCGAGGGTTGGAAACTGTTGCCGCAATATGTGCTGAATCCGGACACCGGTGAATGGCGGCATCACACCAACAGCGTCTTCAAGGAGCGCAAGTGGTTGGGCTCGATCAGATACACGGACGGCAGGATGAACGCCTCGGAGAGACGCGCTTCCGGCTCCGGGGTCTTTCCGCAGAACTACGGCGACTGTCTGCAGACCGCACGCAACATCTTCAACCGTGCCCGCAAAATGGCACAGCGCTACCCGCTGCAGATCGACAAGAGCTTCAACTTCGTGTGCGAACGTATGGAGGCGTTGCGCTGGTTCATGCTGCCCAGCGAGGCGCAGGATCTCCTTCTGGGTAACTCGCAGAACGTCAAGCAGGACGTGCCGTTCAACCCGTTGCTGACGTGGAACAGGTACACGGGCACGACGGTCGCGACTTGCCACGACAGTCTGGTGAATTGTCTGGCGCTCGCCAACGGCATCCGACGACTGAACAGCGATATTCCACGCACCGGTAATCTGCCGGTCTCGCCGGCTTCGCCCAGACATCGAAGTTTACCGGTGCTGAGCACCGCCAGACGCACCGCCATAATCTCGCGGTCCACAGCGGAGCCGAGTCGTCAGCCGACGACGTCGTCGTCGAGCAACAGCGAGGAGGAGAGCCAGAATCAAAATGAGCATTATATGTCCCATCGATCACCCGCCACGTGTCCGAATTCGCCGATGCCGGTGAGATTCGCGGTAGGCGAGGCTGTGACTACCTCGATGCTGAGTTCGATATCGCGCACGGTCGTCCGACCGACGAAGGAGCAGAGAGAGCTGATGGACGCGGCGAATGCCGGTCGCGCGAGATGCAATTCCCTCGGAAGCACCACCGACGGATGCAACGCGCCAGGGAATCGTGTCGGCACCACGTCCGCTTCCTCGCCGATCCCGCCGCTCCCTCTGAGTCCGCAGACTTTGACCAGTTTGGGTCTGAGCGCGACGAACGGCTCGTCGAGGCATAAACGCCTGCACTGCAGCTGCAGCAGCCAGACGGAGCTCAACTCCTTGGAATTGGACTCCGCCGCCAGTCCGAGTCATTCGATTTCTTCTTTGAACTGTCACAATCCGGCGTCACCGCCGTCGTCGTACTCGTCGACCAGCGATTACACCGAGCGACTGGTAGGCGGTGGCAGATCGTCGCCCATCTCGACGACTGCTGGTCAAAGATCCGAGGACGATCTTAGCGCGTATGTGAAGGAGGTGACGAAGGAATTAGCCACGGAGATCAAGTCGGAGATACGCGAGGTTATTTCTAAGGTCGACGACGCCCTGTCGGAGACGAATACATCGGAAAGCACGCCGCAGCATCATTCGCGAGCACACAACACGATCAATCAGACGTACGTGGAGGACAAGCAGATGAGGCACGACTCGTTCACAGCCAGCGACATCGCCGAGTACCTGATGGAATTCTCCAAGGAGATGGCGAGCGAAGTGAAATCCGAGATAAGGTATGTGCCTCGATAAGCAATCAGAATAATATTCAATGGTCTTGGAACAATATTTTTAACGAATTTTGAAATTGATAATAAGGAACGTGTCAATATCGCAAATTGCATGTATAAATATAAACCGATTATTCTCGAGTTAATGCAAAATGAATATTATGAAATCAATGTGAATGAAATTTGGCGTAATATGAAATAAAGTAAATAAACTTTTTAAATTACTTGAAGTGAAATATCACTGAAAATGAATGAGAAGTGGCAGTATTTTCGCTCGAAGCAATAGCGAAAATATTGCCACTCGAAGCGTGAACGTTTCATAAAATTGGAATGAATTCTGACTCCATATGAGCGAATGTTTCGATCGGTTGAAGTGTATATGTTCCTCTGACGATGGAATACGTCAGATTCACTCTTCACTTTCAAAATATTCACTCAATAATTCAGAGCGGAGAATTCATTCTGTAGAAGTGAAAAATAACTCGAATTCGGCTATCTTTCTACTTTTCGAGTGGAATTTTACTCCAAGAAATTTAAAGCGTATGAAGTGAACTTACACGAATCCAACCATTTGAATGTTTGTCGACAGGTGCATGGTGAACGCGGTTGACGGGCTCCACAGGTACTCACCGGACGCGTCCACGTCGGACGTCTCCTCGAATGGGTGCGGCTCGCCTGATCGTGGAAGAATCGTACTTCCTTCAGCGACGTCGCCGCGTTTCTCGAGCGCGAGAAAGAGCGGTCCGATTGAGATCACCAGTAAGGTCGGCGAGCTGTCGCAGCAAGAGAGCAAGATGTCCAGCGAGTGCTCGTCGGACGAGACAGTGATCTACGTGATGAAGCCGTCCGAGAACGACCAAGTGGTTCGTGGTCGGTCCAAGGCCGAGGACGAGGAAGTGGAGAACGACGTGGACGACTACGTGGACGACGATTCGCAGGAAGGACGCGGTGGTCTCGACATCAGCGACGCTCGCAAGGTCTTACCGAAGATCTACTCCGCCGTGAACTCGGTCAGCTCTCAAGACAGCGGCATTAACTTGTCCTTCCACGAAAGCGATAAATCGATAGACTCGTTGGACCTGAAACGCAGCAGTAGTGCAGAGTCCAACTCCACCAATAGCCACGGACGAAAACCGCGGACGACGTCGATGGTGAGTCTGTCGAGTAAGAACGGCGGCAAACAGCACGCGCGTCAGAATGACAATCTCTCGGAGGATGAGGAGTGCACAGGTGATCTGAGGGAAGAGGAGGGCGACGGTCAGGAGGACAAGTCCGAGGATGGGGATTCCAGACTCGAGTTCCCGCGGACTCAATGGCACTGTCCGCCGAAGAACATCTGGAAGCCGTCGGTGGAGGCTATGCAGGAATTCGACATGATTCGCGACAACGACAGGGTGCTAGTCTGTTTGTCGGCGAACGGCAAGGACTCGCTCTCCTTGTTGCATACTCTGCATCAGTACAGATTCTACGCTAGGTCCAAAGGGATCGACTTCGAGATCGGTGCGGCGACAGTTGATGCGAGCGGCGCCGACCCGTTGGAGCTGATGAGCTACCTGAAAGCCCTGGACGTGCCGTATTTCTACGAGGAGCAAGTGACGGACTCGAGTGGCGCCAACGCCGACAACAATCTGCTGGACGCCAGCGTCGCTAGCGGAGCGTGCAGCTTCTGCGATAGGTCGGTGAGGACGCAGCTGTACTCCTTGGCGAAACGGAACGGCTACAATCTGTTAGCGCTTGGTCAACACCTGGACGATTTTACGGAGAGTTTCCTCATCTCGGTGTTCCACGGCGGCATGCTGAAGACCATGAAGGCGCATTACTATATACGTCGCGAGGATCTCAGAGTCATCAGACCTTTCATCTACGTGCGAGAAAAATCGTTGAAGCAGTTCGCTGAGGGCAAGAAACTCAGGGTCTCGCAGGAATCACGATCGCCGCATTTGTCCGAGGTAAAGTATATATAAATATCCGCATAGAAATCTTCCAAGATTTATTTTCCTAGATGCGGCATAGATTCTGATTAGAATTCTTAAAAAGTGCGGTCAAGTACCTATAATTTTTGTTCGCAAAAAATTGGGCGGGATTTGATCACATTTTTTGTCTCAAAATTAGTTATCCCATCACGATACTAATTGGGAATCTTATTCTTGTCCCAAATATGGATCCTCTGTCTAGAATTGAAACAGAAATATTGTGGATGTTTTTCAGTCGGTAATGTCGATATACATTTATGGTATCAAACAGGGAATCCTATTTTTATATCAATTATTGTATTCAATAAAACGAAATATGAAAAAAATAATATAATTTTTCTTTGAGCCTTTTAGTGAATAATGAAATTATTTGAGAAGTCAACATGTTTTTTCAATTCTAATGTAAAATTAAGGCCAGAAGAAATATTGGCAAATCTTCAGATCTTCCCACTTAGAATTGTTTAAAACATTTGACTAGAATCTATAATTATTTTGGGATATCAGGTTGGATCCCAAGGAATTTTCTATGTGGATAAGATGTGCGAAGACGCACGTCGCGTGAGATTCGCTTGATCTACGACAAAATGAGGGTTCTCATAACAGTTCTTCTTTTCCTCGCGTACCGCAGAAGCAGAACAGAAGGAAGGAGCTGATGCTGCAGCAGGAACGCGCGTACCCCCGACTGCACTGGTCCGTCCGCACCGCTCTGCGTCCTCTGATCACCGCGCACGGGCAGGTCACCGACTTCGACTTCGGCAACGGCAGCAATCTCGCCAACAGCCCGAGCAGCACCAGCAGCAGCATAAGCAGCAGCTGCAGCAGCACCAGCGGCAGCAGCGTCGGCGGCGGTAACGGCAGCGGTGGCAGCACCGGCAGTAGCAACCAGCAGAAGCGGCATCGGAGGACCAAGACGAACTCCCTCGCGACCACCTCGTCGTCCCAGCAAACCGACGAGAACGACGAGACGGACGAGGAGCCCGTGCTCTGAGGAGGGCCCATCGCGAGATGGGATCACGATCGCCCCGTGATCTCATCCTCGCGCCTCCGTCGTAGATGCCCGACGTCGACGTTCGCCCTCGTCAGGAGGAGACGGCTACGCTTCGCGGCCACGGTCGCCGCCGCCAAAGCCAACGACCAACGATCGCGCACCGAGCACGGCAATTGAACGACGTCCGATTTCGACGGAGGGACTTTTCATCTCTCTTTCGTTTCCTACACTAGAGGGACTTTAACTTCGATGATTGAAGCACATATACACTGAATATCTGCATACAGCGCATAGTACTCACGTGGAATCGCTTGCGTTTCTGAAAGTTACTCGCGTGTGCACCTCTCGCTTGTTGCGCGACATCCTCGCGCGACTCTCGCGAGTTTTCGGAAAGACACGAGGCTGTTCTCCGACACAGAGTCGTGCAGAACGGAAGATCCGCCGCAGATCTCTCGTGGAAGACATTCTCAGCTGAAGGATCGTTTTTCCCCAAAAACGTCGGCGCGAAACCAAACGCGCGGCAGACTCCCGAGACGGTTGTTCGAGAAGTAAAGACAAGGACTATCATTGCGAGTTGATCTGGGACGGGAGTAGCCGTTCTGTGTAATTTCACCGACGTTGCGGGAGGAATAGTCGCGGATACAAAAGATACGCAGAATGCTAATCGCTGATTAAGCGACTATAAACCAAGGCAGCGTTCGGAATCACGTCTACTTTCCAAGCGATTTTCGAGGTCCATGCCTACTTTCTTCTCTTTACCTTTTCTGCTCAGCCGTCGAATCTTGTGGCTGACTGTTGCGGCGTTTGGCCTCGGGATTGTCAACTTCATAAAACCTACGGGGCTTTCCCTAATTTTTGAAAAATCCTTATTGAAACTATAGTATTCTATAGTTGTAATTACAATACAGATATGTGTTGGTAGACTACAATAGAAAAATATAATATCAAATATAAATAACACGCGTAACGAGAGCTTTTCACAAAATTGGGGAGACTCCAATAGGTTTAATAAAGTCGACGGCTCTAAGACTGAACGCAGAGACCGTCAATCGCGCGGCTGACAGGCGAGCAGGAGAGGAAAGAGGAAGAGAGTAAATCTAGATCTCGAAAATCACCTCGGAAAAGTGGACATAATGCCGAGGACTGATCTAAGGACAATGTAAGCATAAGTTTTTCGTGTTTACGACGAGGTAAGAACGCTTTCTTGCGGACAGTCGGGCGTATCGGCAGCTGTGACTCGGCGATTGTGACTGCTGCACGCCGCAGCGATACGACACAATGCTCTGATCGATGGACGAGCCGCACAACGGCACATCCTGAGCTGCATTGTCACGTCGATCGCGCGTCGTGGCCGGCGCGACGGCGCGCGTGTATGATTAAGGGTCGCGATAACGCTTCAGAGACGCGATAAGCGATAGCTGCTTAATACCGAAACCAGATTATGTGTTATGTATACTGTGCAAAAGAGAAGAAGAGTCATGCGGTGCGGGGAGACACGAGCGGAGAATCGCGACCAGGTCAAAGCCTCGACCGCTCTGCAGACGAGAGATCGAGCCGCGGCGGCACGTATACCTTTTTTACGCATATATACATATTTTTTATTTGATAACTCTAACGATTAAGGTCGTTGAATCGCGACCGTCAAAGACGCAAATTTTCTAAGCGATCAGCCGCAGCTCGATACGAGTCCCTTTCTAGCGGTGTCCCCGACGATGGTCCCCTGGCTGCCTCCCCACCGACGATTGGACTTGACGACGGGCTCATTTCCTTGCGGTCAGGGAAATGCATCCTTTGGATAGTCCGTCGGGAAAAGGCGCCGAGGAATCACCAGCCTCGGTGAATTGACGCCACATCGTCACGTTATTCAATTAAGACTCCTGTGCCCTTGCCGCGATCTATCCTGATTAATGACGTCGGAAGCGAAAAAACCCAAAATGCCTTGCAAAGTACGTCAAAATAAAAGGTTATGTCCATAAAACGATACTTGTGATCGATTGAGTATATTTATCAAGTATTTTGATAACTTCCCTCTTACTCTAACAATCAATAAATAGCCGTATAATTAACATGATGAGAAAAGGTAGACCAGTAAGTCGAGATTGTATATCACGTTAATTTCACGGTTATTTATCGATTGTGAGAGCAAAAGGAAAAGAATGTTTTATAAATGTGACTCATCCAAGATTCCAAAACCGATTCCAAGGGTCACTTTATGGATATATCCTTTTATTTCAGCGTATTGCGCAAGAATTTTGGGCGTGCATTTTCTCGCTTCTGACGTCATCAATCGACAGTTACGTGACGAGGGACCAGGAGCTTTAACAAGAACGCATCTAATGCGAAACTCGATCGACCGTTTTGTCTCGATGACACGAAGGGACCACCGAGGGTCGGAGGTTTTGACAATCATTGCACCCGCCTGCATGAACTTCGACCTCAAGAGAAGCACTCGCGCACGCACACGACGCGTAAGGAGTCAAAGCATACTGGATACATACGCTTCTCGCGAATAAAGCGCGCATCGAGGCATCGGAAACTGCCTAAGCATTTCCAAACAACGCGAGAATTTATCGGAAGACATCCCGGAGAAAAAAGGAGAAAGAAAAGAATGACTAAAGCCTGATCTACAATATGCTCTTTGCTTTCTGCTTTTTTTTCTCTTTCTGATTTAGACCTTAAAGTCTAATTCGCAACGTGCTCTTTGCTTCCTGTTTCTTTTTCTTCGTCTCTTTCTGAATTACGTCATATGCCTTAATCCAGAGAAAGATAGAGAACAAGAAGCAGAAAATAAAGAACACATTGTGGATCAAGTTTTAATCTTTAGACAGAAAAAATAGAGAACAAGAATCAGGAAGCAAAGAGCAAGAGATCGGGCTTAAACGCCGCCCGAGGAATCGCAATGTCTCGTTTTCCGGCTTATCGTTGCGATAAATACGAGAGAAGCTCGCGTCATTAAAGCTCGATATGTGTAAAGCTTCATTAAGAGGGTCAAGTTCTTTGTATATATCGAAAAAATGTTTCGACGATGGTCTTCGATGCGCGCTTTAGACTGCAAAACGAAGGCTCCTTTCTCTCGACTGGTGTCGCTGCTAATGCGACAGCGCGCAAGAAAACCGCGCTCTCCTTTCGCCACGACGTTGTTTATCCGCGCCGCGATCAATAAATTAATAAATTAAGTCTCGATGCAAGAAAATAATGGCGACCGAGTGATGGACGAGTCGTCGATAAGAGGGCCGGGTCGCATCGGCGGTTTACTTAATCGCGTAATAACGTGATAGATCGCGTCGCGCGACACGAAGTAGGTCGGTAGAGAACGCATCGGTCGGATGACGCGCTGAGTCCTCGCCGGGGAACTAAATTTTGCATCCACTTCCAAGGATGTACTGAATTTACCCCGCCGACGTATTGACGACGGCGTATCGGACCTGAGCCCGATTGCATCGATACTCCGAGTTGACGCTGCTCTCAAGTGAAGGATTCCTCTTCTGAACCGATCCTCTTCTAAATCGCAGCTCCGTCCCCGTCTCCATGACGAGAGCGAGGGCAAATTAGATCGATCACCTCGTTAATCGGTATCGATGCAACGCGGGGCTTCGCTCGCGTAATGGAACGTGTAATGCTGCATACACAGAAGGAGAGAGAGAGAGACAGCATTTCTGTGAGGATTATGTCGTAAGAAGCGACGAGACGCGTCGGGGAGATAACGGATAATAGACGTCTATACTATACGGAGAGACAACGCGGACAATTGGACCACGTGGACGCCAGTCGAGGGGACGAGCCGGATGGCATGAGGTAACTTAAGAGAGGACGTTCCAAACAAACCAAAAGTCGAGGATTTTTGCGTAATTGGACGTCCGAGAAAAATAAAAGAAAACGAAAAAAGATGTGAGCCCAGACACGGGCATCGCTATGTCGATTACGACGATACTTAATAGCAGTGGTCTTATGTTGTTCATCTTTTCTCTCATGTTCGGCTGTTGTACGCTCGCTAATCGTGTTAGGATTAAGTAAGTTAAGACTTGTACGTAGATCGCATGTGGAAACAAAAAAAAAAGAAGAAGAAAACAAACAAACAAACAACGTACGCAACGTAAACGATGATCTTATGATAAGGATACGCACGTGTGTCGTTCGTGTCGTACTGATTTTTTAAAAAGTGTTCGTTCGTTCATTCGTTCGTTCGCTCGTCCGTTCGTTCGTTCGTTCGTTCGTTCGTTCGTTCATCGTTAATCGAGCGCGTGAAAAGCTGGAATTAACCAACCAAATGATAAGCGAGGAGGAAGTCTTGATCTATACGAATCTTTGCGCGAGAATAGATATTATCATATTTTCCGAGAGTTACGAAAGGGACATTGTTACTGTAAAGATATGTAAGTTTATTTATCGCTAATAAAAATGAACGTTTAAGAAAAAAAAAGGAAGAAATACACGAGAGTGTCGTGCCTTTATACCCGTAGAACATTGAAGTCGACGTGTTCGACGTCACGAATATCAAAAGCTCGCGGCAACTCCATCTCACCTCATTCTCTGTTACGAGAATTATTGCGTACTTCTCGACGGGCGGCTTGCTTGACAGAGCGGATATTATTTCAGGAGGAGAGAATCGTGAGAGTGTGAGAAAGAGAGGGATTGAGCGCGTGGCGGGGTGTTTTTTAGCGATTTATTAAATCCTTTAAAATATTTGAAACAGCGTGCGGCTTTTGTTATTGGCGTAACAGTGATATAGTCGTTTAAGGTACGTAATACGAGGCCCGAGGAGAGCAAAGCGAGCGAAGATCGACGTAGGATTTCGCACTCGCTCGCCGGATGAGACTTTTCGGGCGAGACCGTGCCGAGAGGGGTCCGTTAATTCAATGACTACGCGGAAAAAAAATCCATATAGTCGGCCCACACATAAATCCGGTCGTGCCAGCTGGATTCAATGCTGCATCTGACCGTCACGATCAGATTTGTGTGTGAGCCAGCCGTTTTCTTCCGTGTACGTCTAGCAAGAATACGGATCACACGTGTAAGTCGAAGCGAGCGACCGACGATCTTCCGGTCGGTTTTCCTTTTATTTGCATCTTCCCCCGCTCGGCGATCGCGCCGTCGCGACGCACGCATCGGCACGATCCGTTCGTGTGTATGTTGCGGTGCGTTTCTGCTTTCGTTCTCTTAAGATTGCTTCCTGTCCTTCTTCTTGCTCCTCCTTTTCTTTTCGGATAGAGTATTAACGTTCTAGTGCGTTAGACGAGAGTAAAATCGAGAAAAAGTCCACATACTTACGAGACGGAATTCATTACGATCTAATCGATCTTACATCTTAAAGTCGCCCGTGCGGCGTCGAGAGAGAGAGACTCGCTGAAATAGGTAGTCAGCCGGGCGAGATAACCTCTGGTGTCACGTGTAAGCGATAGGATCGAAAATACGTGCGAAATGAATAATTTATCTCAACTAGATTAACATCTCTCGCGCTCGCCTTAACGCTCAGCTTCGGAATTCGCGCAGGAGATATTATATCGCATCGCGCGTCGACCCGCTACGGAGCGCTTCCTCCGAGAGTAAAACTGCGAGAGCCACCATGGCCGACCGCTGATGATTTATCCGCCGCGAGTTCCCGCGCTGCCAGAAGCGCTTATCGCTCCCGTTGTCCGGCGCGGCGAGATTTCACGGACCCCGGTTTTACCGACCGCCCTCCCCCACGTAATTATCCGCGGCGCTTATCAGCGACTCGTGAAAAGCGTGCCAGGAGAAACGCTTCTGGCCTTTTTCGTCCCGCGCTCTCATAGACACGCTCGCGTCGCGTTGCATTTGGATATTCACGTTTGACTTCTCGTTTTAGGAGCAACCTTCTCTCACCCGTCCCTCACACGACAAACCCTGCTGTTTGAATTCGCGGGCTCGCAATTTTCAGTGTTGCACTGCGCGTTCTTCTCAGCGGCGGCTCGGTGACGGTCGGTCACGTCTCCGCATGCCACATCGATCCGGGACTAACTTATCGAGAGTCCTCTGACCGGGACGACTCCTCGGTTCGTTTAGCGTACATCAAGAATGCAAATTCGTGCTGCACTCGCGACCATCCGCGAGGGAGTAATGTGTAGCTCGGTGCAGATTTTTGCAGTTTATCTATTCACGATACGCTTAGCAGGACGTTCCAGCGTTGAGAAATCGACTCGAGAAATTTGAGAAGAGCGAGAGCTAATGAAACGCAGACGAGTTCTCGGAGTTTAAAGAGGCCTCGTCTTGTTTGCCAGGCGCGATCGCGCGCGATTCGAATTGCAAACGCGAGAGGAAGAATATTTCGCGAAAACGCGATCGCACGTCGTCTTGTATCAGGCTTATCTAACAAAGAGATGAGAGAATAGACGTGATCTTAGAACAGCGGAGATTGCAGATCCTCTTCGTCATCCTCTTCGTCCTCGTCGATCCCCGGCTCGCCGAGAGCATGAACGAATTCTGAAACAAAGAGAAATCAAGTGGCATCGAACAGAGGGCGATTTCTTTTTCAATAATTCTTCACCGTCTTCTAACTGGTTAACGAAAATTGAACTACTCGGATATTGATGTACCGCATTTCCACAAGAGGGGAAAAAAAGAAGCGAGAAGAAATGGATGAAATTCTCGAGGTCTAGGTTTTCACAATTTCCACCTCTCCATCTTTTCGTCGAGAATTACATTCCCTTACTCTTTCGAATATGGCTCCATCGAGAATGATTCATCGTAAGAATGGATCACGCTCCAGAGGGTAAAAACTGAAATCTCCTTTTTACTGCTGCTTGCATTCCGCACTTGTCCGATTTTTACGAGACCGTGCTTGCGGTTTGTACAAGAAACAGAAGGAGCCTTACCGTAGAAATCAATCCGGCCGTCCCCGTCCACGTCCACTTCCTTAATCATATCCTCGACTGAAAGCAAAACGAGAACGGTTTATACCGAAGATTGTTTCCTTATTCCGCAATTATTTTAAATCGCTAGACGATACATAGTCACGCGAAAGATAATCGAGTGTCTGAGCTAATCTTATCCGAAGGCACTCGCGATAATATATTGAACCTTCGCTGAACCTTTATGGATACCCAAGTCGAAATTTTGATTTTACTTTCGACTTCAATATTTCATTTAATTTCTACTTTGACACTTTAGGTATCACTATCAATTTCTTTTGATTCTATTTAATCTGCTAATTTTGCCAAGAAGTCCTCTTTTAGAACCTACAAGAGGCATTTTGTGCGTTTTTCGCCGTTTGAAGGCGCTAAGTACGCGGACAAATAATTAGTATCCACTTAAAACTATTCAAATTAACAATCATTGTTTCATATACAAGCAACGATATATAATTTTGTTTGAGGAATTTTAAAGTCTTGAATTTCAATGTTATAATTTTACTTGGATATTAGAATAATCTCATGATAAATGCTCTCTCTTAAAATGAATCAGTAAATTTGTTTTTAATTGAATCAATAAAAGAAGTATTTCAATGTATATTTATTGATTTTTAGTGAAACACTCCCATTTTATTCTTCCACTTTAAATCCTACTGATTTTGATTAATGGAGGCAAGATTTCATTGTAAAACCTGTAGTACGCCAATTCGTTGTACTAAATCCAACTTTCTGCATTTGCAGCAATAGAGTTAACAGTTTCCATGAAGATTCCCACGTTGAAATTTTAATCTTATTTTCAGCCTCACTATTCCATTTAACATCTACTTTGATATTCTGAAGCCTATAATATAATCTATTTTAACACTAAAGAAAGTGAAAAAGAAAATTTCGGGCATCATTGGAGTCAAAGTAGGAATAAATTGTATCATTAAAATTAAACCTACTTTGCTAACTTAGCTCCTACTGTAATTCAAAATTTCACATAAGACTAAAATTTCGACTCGGGTTAACATGTCAAAAATAAAGATATTTTCCAATCAAGAATGTTCTTTCTTCGTGGTCCTCTGTAGGACTTCAGTTGCCATGTGTATTAAATATACACATTGACCTTTCAGACTACACAGATATTACGAAGTTCAGGAGGGTTGAAAGTAGAGCTAATATTTCGACTCGAATGCCCGTGTCATCGACGATCCCAGCTGCACGGTTACATTAGAAAGGAAGACACGACGTAAAACAAGCAGGAGATCCCATCTGGGGCACGATTAAAAAGTGCGCGCACTGAATCTGATGCGAATTTATAATGGAGAGATTATTCCCGCCACGGAAAACGCAGTTATATGCCCCGCCGCAGTAATTCAATAAATATATATCTTTGCCACACGCGCGCGTTCCGCGGCGAGATTAATTCGTATCACGCGTCTCGTCGGGAGAGAACGATGCAGGCGACTCTACAACAAATTGCACGATCGCATCATGCACTTTAAAGATATTGCCGATATAACCGCATTATTTCCACTCAGAATTTATCGCCGCCGAAAGGAATGAAGACGACGCGTACCGGCGTCGTAGCAGTCGGCATTAACGGCCCGTCGCGGCACAACGCTGGCATCCGAGGACTTCCCACGAGATGCCTTCTCGAAATTTCCAAAATTAATCACTACTCTAATACAGAAATTTCATCCTTTCCATTTCCTTTCCTTTCCATTGAGTTCTGCTCTTTCCGTCGACGGCTCGCAATGTATCGTTTACGCGAGAGAGGCGCAATGTAATTATTTAACAGGTGATTTAACGCGTAACATAACACACGTTTACAACGTGTAGCAACAGTAACGTAATTCGCAAATTGCAGTTCCACCAATTCCACCGATTTTTCGGTGAATTTCGCGCGATTTAGCTTAAATAGATTGCGGCCAATCAAGAAACTCGCGCCGATCGTTTTTGGTTGATTATCGTCGATTATGGTCGGTTTTGTGAGATTATCAAATCGAACTGTTGGATAATATAAATAGAATTCACTAGAATGGTGAACGCGTCTCGTGCACCCACGAAAGTATACACTGCATTTAAGTAAATCTTACGTGTTTCAAGTATTTCGTAAATTTACATATATGCGCAAATCTACACAAAGAGAATATTATAACTCTTTTTTATATAAATTCTTTTCAATTTTACTGTTTTTATTAGGGGAATAGACTACTAGTAATAGACTACCAGGAATAGACTACTAGTAGGACAGATGGCGCGTGTAAGTGTGTGAACGCTTGATTAACGTGGCGCGTAAGTTTGGAAATATTTTATTATATTGTCTTGTATGGAGGGCCAGATAGCGAAGAAATTATGTAGGAATGAATGCATAAATAGTATGTAAGTAAAAGCTTCATTAAGAAAGAAAACAGGATTCAGAGCGAAAGAAGCATACATAATAGAGGTTATGACGTCATAAGCAACGACTAATTAGGATAGTATAGGTAATGCAGGTAAGCTTAAATTAGTGTGGTAATGTAGAGGAAATGTATGAAACATAGTAATAAAAAAGACGGAAGAGAGTATACAAGAGACCGAGAAAGAGAAGGATATAAGAAATGAAGATAAAAGATTTGGTCATCGGTCATTGGATAAGGAAGCAAAATAAAGGAATATATAAAAAAGGAATGACAAGGACTGGTGGCACAGGTGCTGTAAGTAAGGAAAATAAAGTGCAACGAATGAGAAAAAGGTTATAGAATATGGAAAATTCCTTCTTTGGCGATGTAGCTGAAGGAAAATATACTGATACTAATACTGATAATAATTCAATGATAAACTGTCAGTAAAGTCTATCTCTCTGAGAAACTTAGTAAACTTAGCTAAAACATAATAGATTTCATTGGAAACATAGCAAGTATTTTAAGAGCACATTTCAATTCCTAAAATATAAGTAACATATATGAAATAAAAGAATGATGAATTATTATAGAATACCGGAATATACTATATTCCTCGGTTAAAATACTGTAGTAACTTTTGCTATAAAATTCTATCGATGTATTATCAATTCATCAACAACATTGAATGTATTCCAAATATATTCCGTGTCTTAGTAAGTTTAGCATTTCAGTTAAGAATACTAAATTAAAGTAATTCGATTTGCTTATTACATAAAGTCAAGCCAATTCAATAAAGTTTTATGGTATTCTCATACAAAGAATAAATTCTTCTTTTGAATACGTGTAATGAGCTTTTCTTAAAGTTGTGATAAATATATTTGACGACTATTATCAAGAAAATATGTTTTTATTGTAGATAATCATCACTTAAAAGAAGAAAAGTAGGTTAAGTAATCGTTTTTCTTAGCAGTGGAATAACATTCTCCTCTGTGTACTCTCCCTCTCTTTCTCTTTGCCGAGATTACTCGGCATAAAAATTGCTCGTCTCTCTTATTTTCGACTTTATCACCGCGTTGAAGTGTAATCAATCGTCAAACGTGTCATGATCGCCACAGCAGTTTAATTTCGTGACAATAACGTTCCTCGCGGCTCGATAATAACGAAGTCGTCGTTTTAAATTAATCGCGACGTAGAGATCGCCCTTCTTGTCGTTCTCTCCTCGTTTTTCGCTCGTTTCGTTTTTATGATGGAGCAATTATCTGAACGTAATTACCGTGGCGCGAAGACAAACTGCATTTCTTTACAGAGTCAATTATTTTTTAAGATGTCTGCCTTACATTTGCTTCTTTACGAGCGTTTTATCGCATCGGAGGAACCGCGCGATAAAGTAATTGAGATCCTCCTGGAAACTTTACGCTCGTGTGCGTGAACGTAAGTGAACTTGTTCGCGCTTAGAGAGTAAGGTAAAAGCGATCAGTGCTCGGACATGTACCTAATTCTGGACATTCTGATTTTGTTTTCCAAACACGAATATAGCATAGGATATATGTATTTTATGCTGAAAGTTTAAATATTCGTATCTGAAGACTAAAACAATAAGAATATGCAGGGTTAAGTACTTTTACTTTACTACTCCTGCACTGAGAGAAAAATATAGTTGCTTTTGGCGTCAACTATACGCTTTTGTGATTTTAACCACAAAAATAATTAGAAGAACCATTATTTTAGTAAGTGTTATTAGAAAGATTCTTCTAATTATTTTTCTGGTTAAAATCACAAAAAAAGTATAGTTAACGTCAAAAGCAACTATATTTTTCTCTCAGTGTGAACGCGACTGGTATATCTTGAGTCGGATCGAAGTGTCGTCGATTCTTCAAACGCTAAGTGGAAAGGCACGATGTCGCGGACATTTGCAACGCGAGATAAGACGTGTCAGTCAAACACGGAGATACATCGCGAGTTACAAATTTGCGTGGCGACGTCCAATTAACACGACCGTCGCGCATTGTGATTAATGCTCGATGTCTGAGAGAGAACGTGTCACTGTTCGCAACTTGTGTCGTGGACTTGTGTTAATGTGTACATATCAACGGCGTGTTTCAGGGAGAATCCTACGATGCTATACGCGATGATAGTTACGCAATAACAATGCGTGACATGAGTGCACGAGAACGTCGAAAGAGTAAAACACTGACCGTTGATTTACGTTTACGCAACAGCCGTAAATGATGTTCTTGAAAAATTCTCGTCTTTTGTAAAATTCAGTATGACGTTCTACTTTATCGCGGATATTTCCAATTATTTATAGAATGCCTAACGTAACTCGTACATCCGCTCATGTGCAGGTAAAACTCGTCAAATTGAACGTCCTCTACCATTTTGCAATAGATCGGCATTCTGCACTGAGAGAAATTACCCGATAAAAAATTAACAAACGTCCACACTGAGAGAAAAGACTGGTAACTATAACAAACTGCATTTAGTTACAGAAATTCATTGAATCCTTAGTAACTAATACTAAATATGATAATAATTACCAAATATTTAATAGATCGGGAGTATGACGTAATTGCATTCACAGTAACATCAATTAAATAATTTAGTAATAGTTACTTAATGTTAAATATTTAATATGAAATATATTATAGTTATGAACAGATATTTGATAATTGTTATGAAATCGTTATATCTCATATAATAAAAAATTCAGTAGGTACGAGTTCTATTTTGTTACCAGTATAAGTATGTTTTGTTGCAGCACAACGAAAAATTCATTCATTTGCAGCTATTACATCGTTTCAATATCTATTATTACAGATAGTTGGTTGAACCTATCAAAAATTTTGTAACTATTACAAAATCGCTTATTTTGCTCAACTATTCAATAAGTTTTATTTACCAAATATATTCTGGAAGCAAATAAATTTTACTTCTGTCAAATAAATAATTTATTTTACAGAACTAAATTAATTAATAAGTATTGCCATAGCTTTGGCCCGCTATATTTACGTCTATCATTTAGTAATAGTAACCAAATTTTGATAATATTTACTAAATTTTTCTCTCAGTGCACGTTATTATACGTGTACACGTATGATATTTCCGATCAAATTCCGATCAATTTTTATCCGATTAAATTTTATCGAGTCATGGCATTTTATCAGAGAAATCGATCAAAAACTTATGAATCGATATTTCTGATCGGATGGATCAGATATGAAAGTTCGTCGATATTTTTATTGGAAATATCCATTTGTTAATTTTTTATTGGGTAATTTCTCTCAGTGTACAGTAATTCATTATCTTTTCATTCCATATGTGCTACTTATATTTCAAGAATTGAAATATGCTATCAAAACATTTATTATGTTCTGTAACAAAATTGATTATGTTTCTTAGTAAGATAGTCCTGAGAATTACTGAAGACATAGTCAAATGGAATAGAATTTATATAAAAAAGGAAGATTATAATATTCTCTCCGTGTGGAGGAGGTTTTGTGTTCAGTTTAACGAGTTGTATCAATTGCGCCAAATACTCTATACATATTCTAACATCGCTGTACACATCGCATCGCGAATGACTCTTTCAATCGCGCTGTATATTCGTGCGCAATTTACTGAAATCGTCAATTTGCCGACGATTAATTGGAAACATGTCTTCGAGATGGTCCACGTAATCCTACAGCCGCAGAACAATCGATATTCTGGTAGATTTGTCGTCTCGCACGACGGAACGCTTATGATTGTGCGATTCAGCCACGACTCGACGGTCGGTCTCGCGCTCCGTTCGTGCAAACACACACAATTGTCCTCGTGAATGCGGACGGCAAGCTGAGGTTTTCTCTCCACAGGGACAAGACTCTTCGGTAAAGTAACCAGGTGGGAGCGGTTGGGGAGAGACGCGGCAGTCTAGATTTTCGACGGGCGCGTGTCAACAGGCCGAATTATCCGGATTTCGCCGTCTCGTGAAATAACAAGGGCCGAGCAAATAATTCCGGGGCGAAAAATAACGATAACTCGCGCGAAAATGAACGGGAGAAACAAACGGAGGAGTAAAAATTAAAGTATTCTCAACGATGTCGTCGTCACCTTTGATGCGGCGCAATCGGAATTCGATTGACTGACGCGGCGGGGCGAATCGATACAAAACGGACGATTTGGATCTACCGTACGCGCTTCATCAGTTAACGGCGAATCATTGTCACGGGAAGGTATTACTTGCAGATCATACTTGCAGATTTATGCGCGCGGATGCAATCACGACTGCTTCCGTAACACCGGTGCCGGCCGTTAAAGCCGACGCGCGTTATCGCCAGGACGTCGCGCTTGCCGAAAATCAATCGTCCTTAGGTGTGCCGTTTTAGGCGGAAACGTCTTACTTCGGCCTTTATTGCCAAAGTTCTCCCTTATCGAAAGTATCGCAAGGTGGGTGGGCAGATATCAGCGCGAGTTATATCCGGGCGTATCGCATCTATCGCGAGGGGGCCATCGGCGAGTGCGTTTCCCGACTTTCTAAAGGCTCGTCTACAAGGCGCGGAGTAAGCTAAGTTGGACTAAGAAATTAAAATAATTTAATGTCGCTTACGTCTATACTCTCTTACACTGGGAGTATTTCTCTTATTTTTTATTTGGTACACTGAGAGAAAAACTTGTAACTATAACAAACTGCATTTAGTTACAGAAATTCATTGAATCCTTAGTAACTAATACTAAATATGATAATAATTACCAAATATTTAATAGATCGGGAGTATGACGTAATTGCATTCACAGTAACATCAATTAAATAATTTAGTAATAGTTACTTAATGTTAAATATTTAATATGAAATATATTACAGTTATGAGCAGATATTTGATAATTGTTATGAAATTGTTACATCCGATGTAATAAAAAATTCAATAGGTACGAGTTCTATTTTGTTACCAGTATAAGTATGTTTTGTTGCAGCACAACGAAAAATTCATTCATTTGCAGCTATTACATCGTTTCAATATCTATTATTACAGATGGTTGGTTGAACTTACCAAAAATTTTGTAACTACTACAAAATCGCTTATTTTGCTCAACTATTCAATAAGTTTTATTTACCAAATATATTCTGGAAGCAAATAAATTTTACTTCTGTCAAATAAATAATTTATTTTACAGAACTAAATTAATTAATAAGTATTGTCATAGCTTTGGCCCGCTATATTTACGTCTACCATTTAGTAATGGTAACCAAATTTTGATAATATTTACTAAATTTTTCTCTCAGTGTAGACTCAAATTTAAGGAGAAGAACTTCTAAATGTCCAAGTGAAGTAAATGACGTTCTCCTGAATGCAGTTATATTGATTTGAAAATATCATTTTGAAAACATATTTTCGATGATTTTTGTCATCCAGTGGAAAAAAATGGAAACTACTGAGATAAACAGGTGATTAGATGTTGCTACAGAGGAACAGTGTTAAATAAATGCGTCTTACATTTATCCTTCTTACATATAGTTCACGAGAAATTGATATTGCTTGAGAGCAGCATTACCAAATAAAGGGCTAAGTAAAAGAAGTGCTTCAGATATAAGGGAGCTGGAGTATTAGGAGCAAGCTGAACAAATTCTTTTTATTTCTTACTCTAACTTACGCTCACTCCGCACATTGTAGTCGAGCCTTAAAGGCTGCCGCACCGTGTAGCGTTGTCATTCCGCACCGATTAGGTATAATACTTACTCTCCTCCTCGGACAGATCCTCGCCCAGGCATTGCAGTACCGCCCTGAGGTCCGACGCGGTGATGTAGCCACGATTATGTTTGTCGAATACCTGTCGTGCAACAAGTAAACAGAAAGCCAATTAAATCCAGCGTGACTCCGCAAGCTTCGCTTTGCATTTATTCGCAAAGCGCGCGTGTGCATGTGTGTCGCGCGAAATATTTGTGTTGCATTTCCAACATAACAATCACGAGAGTTCGGTTTCGCGACGACGCGACGGGAGTCGTCATACCGTCGAACTTTTATCAGTAATCCTTTTGAAATGCGCGCGAGTGCATATATCGAAAGAAATCGTTGTCTTCCCACGCCGCGTTTATTATTAACGTAGCCTCGCGCCGTCGCGAATTTCCAACCGCGATCACGTGACAGTTCGTTCGGGCAGAAAGAGCGAGAAGCAAATATTATTTTTTCCCGCGACACAGATATCTTTCGTTTCGGCGGTCGCTCAGGATGCCGTTTAATGAAAGACATCTCTCTCCGACTCGTCCGCCTTTACTTCCGCTCATTAGTAAGCGCGAGCGTTTCTGACGGGCGACGTCGAGACTTTTTCCGCGACTGGAGAAGGAAACCGAAAACGAGACAGCGAGCGACAGGAAGACGGAAAGGCCGCTCTGGCGAGGTAACAATCGTGCCTCCCCTATTATTTATCGCGCACACGTTTGGTCTATTCCAGCACGATTTGTACGAAATCGTGGCGGGCGTAATTCGAATCGCCCAGATCCAGCCCGAAATGGAATCGGGATTGATGATCCTCCGAGGAAGCCCGAAACAATTGCGTCCGGTGGCGATGTGTTACGTCGGTTGTACCAACCGACATCCCGTCGGACGATATTCTGACAGACACACGGCGCAACGCGGAAGACATCGTCGACAAAGTCGGGCTCGTTCGCAGGATCCTTCGTTTCACCTTACATCGCGGAGAGAGCTCTCCTTAATATTTCACGTGGCAGACAATACAGCAGACATTGCTGTGCGTGACCGCGGGCTCGTTGTAGTCGTATTAACGACAACTTATTGCAAATACGGTCTCCGGTAATGCGCGGCCAAGGTCGTTTACAATGTTCTCTCTTGTTCAGCCCTGTACCTGCCGAATGGCGAGCCCTTTTGTCCCTTTGTAGAGAACTAAAGAGGCTTACGCTGAACAGTGAAACACTACCAATCGCAATACTACCGCCTTTCGGGTGCAATTACTCGTGAAAAGCGGTTTTGCAGCGTCTTACACTTCGCGAGAGGTAACTTTATTTTCTTGCGCTCGATAAATAAGTAAAATATCATTTTTCTCGCAAGAAACTTTCCAACGTTTAAGGTAAAAGCACCAATGCCCGGACACGTGCCTAGCTGTGGGCATTCTTATTGTTTTGATCTTTAAAACACAAATATTTAATTCGGGTTGTTCCTTCCTGATGAAGGGAACTGAAATGTTCGCGAAACGTCGAATCGAACAAAAATGAATTCACGCGGCTCAAACCAAAAACCAAATCTAAAATATTTAAAATATCTAAAATATCTAAAATATTTAAATATTTAAAATATCTAAAATATTTAATTGTCAACATATAGAATATATATATATATATATTTTTTTTTTATATTGAAAGTTTTTAGATCAGAGTTGTAAAAATATCAATCAGATTTTTATCAATTCAATAATTGATTTCAATAAATATGTTTAATTTAACTAATTGACATGAACGGAGAGGATAATTCAGTTAACAATTAAATTTAGCAAATTTAATTGAAGACCGTTTAATTGAGGATTGAACTCAGCGAATTTAATTAGAAGTCGTCTAACTGGACGATTGATATGAGCAAATTCATCGATCGATTTCATCCAAGAGCGTTTGATTATTCGAGAGATTACGATTGGTTTTGCGGATAGTATTCAAATCATCGTGGCGTCGTTGACGATGAGAAGTACTAAGTAGGACTTGTATTAAGGGGAGCATCGGTCACATCAATTATCACTGGACAATCATCCGTTGAATCGATCGAATTTGCTCATATCAATCGTCAATTAAACGACCCTTAATTAAATTTGTTAACTAAACAGTAACAACTGAAGAGGCAAATAAGGAGTACAGCACGGATGGCTTAGTGCTATTAAATACTAATATTATATAATATTAATATTATGGAGTGGGAGGAAAGGCGTCCCGCCCGGAAAGTAGAGAGGTTCCAGGTTCGAATCCTGGCGGAGGCAGTTTTTTCGCAACACATATAATGGATCTATTTGAGTCATCGGTTTAATAGGTTTTGGGAATTTTAAATAAATATATATATATATATATATATATAAAATTGGGACTCAAGGATCGGTCTAAGTATGAAAGGTAAATTCGCCGCGTACGTTAATCGAAGAAAAATTTCGATACGTGCGTTTGATATGCTGGACATAATTATCCTCCCACTATCATATTAATATTATATAATATTAGTATTTAATAGTACTAAGCCATCCGTGCTGTACTCCTTATTTGCCTCTTCAGTTGTTACTGTTTAGTTATTCTAAAAAGGAGCTTTCTATAATTTCTGTTTAAATTTCCTAAGTTTAACTGGCTATAATTATGTAAAAAAATCCATCCTACGAAATTGATTTTTGACTTTTTGTTACCAATGAGTATTCTATACATCTTCCTACATAAAATATAAAAAACCTAAGCTTTATTGCCTTCCAAAGTTATTTAAAAAATAGTTCTTATTTTTTACTAGTTGTGCTACTTTTTAATAATTGCATCTTTCTATCCATTTTTAAGAGTTGAGTTTGTCAATGGATATCCTTCAAGAGAAGAGAATTGACCATGTTTGACTTCTTGAACGATTGTTAAGAACTTCAGTGTCATTTATACTTTTTAAATCATATATCAAAAATTTTTAACTTAATTCTTTTCGAAACATACTCCATGTGGATCATTTTTGTATAACTACAACCAATTATTAATTAAGCAATTTTTAATTTCCTTCGTTTATATCAATCATCAATAGAACAGTCTTTAATTAAATTCATTGAAATTGATTGTCAATTGATTTCTTGGATTGAGTTTGTTGAAATTAATTGTCCATTAAGTGGCCTCCTATTGAATTGGTTTACATTAGTTGTCGATTAAATACGCGATAATTAATTAAAACGGTAGTTAATTATTCGCAACTCTGGTTAAAATATTTAAAGGCCGCAAAACAAAATAAGAATGTCCAGGATTGCGTACGTGTTCAGGCGCTGGAACTTCTACCTTACAAAGATCAAACAAAGTTATCGATGAGTCTCTGCTCGCACCGTTTTGCGAATCTGGCCGCTCGATATCATCACGTTTGCACACGTGTCGCGATAACGCGAACTAAACGACGCAGTCTATTTTCGCGGCGCGGCAGCGACGACGGCCAGATATTTGTCACGTTTTCTCGGTGGAAATCGCCGGGGTGGCGGTCGTTTTCCGGCGAGAGTCTGAAGCCGAGAGGGCGGTCTGTCTGCGCGCGCGAGGAAATGGGGAAAGAAGGATCGTGGAAAGAATCGCATCGCGGGAAAATACAGTCGCCCTAACTAAGGGACGGCGACGTCACGCGACGCCCTGCCCGTCACGCTCAACGACCATTATGGCCACGTTCGCCTAATAATACGCCAATGACGGGTCGGGGGAAATTGCAATCGGGCGATCGTTACAGCAATTAGTAAATCATTTAGACCGTTGACTATTCTATCGTCGCGAGAGACCGACCGGTCAACGTCGAAAGCTCGTCGCTGTTGGCGTTTGACATTTACTGTGTTTTCCTATCTTAGGATAAATCGACGATAAATTTTCTCGCTCTTGTGTGAAATCCATCGTGTATTTTCTTTCCGTTCGCGGGAAGCTTCGATTTACTTGGACTGTGCTCCAAAACAAACATATTTTTTTTCACATTTCGAGAACAAGCGAAAATCGTTGTTCATGTGTGTCTTCGCGTGGTTAACAGTAAAACAAATGTTGATTCTGGATATGAAATAATACACTTCACGTGTATATTGTTTACGTTTGAATGAAGCATTCGTGCTGATTTATAAAGCTGTTTTGCGTACCTCGTAAGAGGATGCAGCGCCATCAGTTTCTTCGCGCTGCTCGGTTCCAAACCAGCAGATTGTGCGAAAATAAATCATTGCCTTTACCTCGTCCGTCCGTCCGTCCGTCTTTCTAACCGTCTGATAAGGAACGAGGAGGAGGAAAGCGATCAACTATTCATTAACATGCTAATGCGAACTAAGAAATTCCCGTTTACATTTTTTTATCGGGAGTAGACCTTTACGTGAAACTGCAAGCGCGGCATTCGCCAGGCGCGCCAAATTCTCCCGAGATGCGTTCCGCTTCTCTCACTTCCTCTCGGTCTTAAAAGCTCGCGCCGTCTAATGGAGTTTTAGCTATGTTTCGCTGAAAAACGCCGGCGTTCGCGTTCGCTGCGATAATTCATGGGGCGTCGAAACTCGCGGCAATCGTGACGCTCGCAAGACGAGTGAACTTTGCCTTCGACTTCATATTTTTGTGGTATTTTCAGGTGACCAGACGTCCCGTTTTCCCCAGACCGGTCCCGCTTTTTATCCTATGCTCTGGTTTTTTTCGAACGCTATCCGCGACGCTAATTTGTCTCGATTTATCCCGGTTCAGAGGACTTTTAAAATGCTTCTGACAAAAAAGTAGCGCTCAAGAAAATTCATAGTTCTGATAAATATAGTAGCTTTGCTCCTTCTTTTGAGTGTGGCTAACGACAGTTTTATCTTAACAATAGTTTTCATTTTTATTGTATGCAGCAAGGTTTCATTGTTGTTAAGTTATTTCTCACATGCCTACAAATGTGTCATATATATACATGTGTGTGTGTGTGTGTGTAATTTTTAATGATCTCTCCTTTCCGCCGCCCCTCCCTCCTCGCTTCACTTCACTATTCATGAAGTGTCCCGGATTTGGAGCTGGTAAATCTGGTCATTTTAGGTTTTCGTAGCAAGATTGCATAAATCTTGATGTAAATGCGATTCTTATCCTCGTCGTAAAAAAAGCTCGCGCATACAAGTCTATACGTCAATGCATTTTT